TAATACTGATCTTATACTCATAATTATTTTTATTTAAAATTTAAGTTGGAATAGAAAAAAATTGTATGTAGGATTTAATGTGTGTACGACCTCTGTTCGTTTTTAACTGAATAAACTTAAGTTTTAAATGCATTTAAGAATAAATTTACTTAATTTTAAAATGAATCAAAAACAGAATATCATGAAAAATCGTTGAAATGAAAAACAAATACTGATATCTTGTGAAATTCTTAATTTATTTATCATACAGCTCAAGGTGTAATTTTATACTATTTACCCTCACTTAGTTTATTATATTTAGATCCTACATACTTATAACACAATTGAAGTAAATAATTAATAAGCAACAGTGGTGGCTTGTATTTGCGTTTGGTGGGTGTATGACTAATATGATTTCCTTGTCATAGATATACAAATTAACTACATTAAAATAATAAATACTAACTATTATCACTTAACTTTAAATTGTATTAATTATTTAAGTACTGCAGGCCGCAGTACAAAAGAAATCTCTAATATGTTATAACTCATAAGGTACTGTACAATGTAGTATACTATTATACTAATTTCTAGGTATACAACAGAATATAAATATGGATACTGAAATAATCTATTATTATGTTTAAAAAAACGAATCTTCATTAACGGCCTACAGCCAACTATAATGATTTTAATTAATATTAAAAATAAATTACTTTCAACACTAATATTTCAGACGCATCTAGTCGTCAAAGATTATAGGGAATACAATTTCCGAAAAAACTGGAAGATACTCTGAGAATATTTGGTCCACTTAAAATTAAGAAAAGTAGGAACCACTCTGCTGTACTTTAGGTGTTGAGTGGGTCACTTAAATAGATGGGTTGAATTTTATTTCAATTACATAAAAAAATTTTAAACAAAAAACAATTCCGATTTGAAACCTTTATTATGCAGTATAATCTATATTTTTATAATTACTTTTAAGTTATTTATCTTACAAATTGTAGCAAAGGAAGGTGGATTTCATTTATTATAAAACATAAAATTAGACAATGTAATGGCGTAATGTATAAAACATAAATACTTGGTAAATTTTCAAATTTTCAATTTTCTACTAATACTTTTATTAAACTATAGCTAACTAGTAGGTTACAATTTTAGCTACAAACCGATAAGACATTCTTTGCAAGGTTAGGGGTCTATAATACATTAAAAAAACAAATCTTGAATGAGAAGTGAGTAGACTTTTGGTTCCTTAGAAAAGATGTTCAAATTAATACAATAAGACGTATACAAAAAAAGTTAGAATAAGCAAACATTTCTGCTGGGTGTCTTTACATAGATGTATATCGGCCAATATATCGATTAATTAAGTATCTAAGTTTATTATTTATTCAATCTGAACAAGATTTGAATTACTAAATAACCAATTGCTTTGCTTGACAAACTATGTAGTTGTCTTAGATTAATATGACACATTCCATACAGTTCAAAATTATAGTGTTCGTGTAATCTCCGTAGTAAAAAAAACTTGATCTGCATAAAATATTCAATTTAAATGATTTATTAACACATTGGAGACGAGTACCGTGTTAGGCACGGCCACGGTTTTAAGATAAGTGAGACGCTAGAATTTTTACAATGTTAAAGCTGAAACACGGTTAGTCAATTTGGTTTACATTTATACCTGACGCTTAATTCTAGGATTTCTTTCTATTACGGACCGTACGTGTAAAACATCACTCATCCGATTTATCTGAAAATACAAAATTGTAATTTTAAATAAGTTGAACATCGGTACTAAGCAACACAAATTTAAATCTTTTAATTATTATAAATATGTAGATTATCATTTTTTTTTACTGTTAATTACATAATGTTCATACAAAACAACTTAAATAGATGAATATTGTTCAGTATAATGTTAATAGAAAAATTTATTACTCTTAACCATAGAGAAATTAAAAATGTATTAGTTTTATTTCACTGCGAAGTAACTAAGAATTGTGAATTGAAAGCCAAGAATACAATTTATAAAAAGCTAATAACTTATATGCAATGAATTAGAATAATATTTAATATCATATAAAAACCTCTTTTTCCATGGCGTCGCCTATTTCGTATATTATTAGAATATTGACTGTTCTTGTTAACAAGCCTAAGAAAGAAAATACAAAATATGGATCATTGACATAGTCTCTAGGAAATAATATGCAACTGTATATAGTAATAATGATATCAGCGACATTTGCTCCAATAAAAATAATAGCCGGCAAACCATATATTGATCTATTGACTTGTTGTATGCATTCTATAACTTCCAAATACATGTCTCTGAATGTACTTAAACATGATCTTCTATCCAGAATTTGTTCATTTATCACGTACACTATCAATTTTATGTATGATATTAGTAGTATGTATTCGTTAAATGCAATAAATTCGCAAACAATTGCAACCACGTAAAAAATCTGAAATATATTGTAGGTATATATAAATAAATCGAAGCTACAGCTGCTTGCCTTAAATGTCTGTAACTGAAAATTCGTGAGCATTTTGATATGTACAAAGAGTTAACTATTTTTAAATACACATAACTCGAGGAGGTAAATGATTTAAATACACATAACTCGAGGAGGTAAATAATTTAAAAAATATATAAAAAAATTGGTACAAAAAAATGTGATCAAAAACATATAAACTAATACTTATATGGTATTTGATCTCTATCCATCAATTTTATAAAACGGTTGGGAAAGTTTAATCAAAACACAAATTACTTTAAATTATCATACAATATTAACTTTAAAGTTATGACATATTTTTAGAAGTGAATCATGATTGATTACCATTTCTTTTATCTCAAAATGGATTTGAATTTTCATCCATATGAGTGGAACTAAAATATTTCCTATGACATGAACAATAATACCAATAATGATATAACACTTCATTTTTATTTTCATCGTAGCGATCACTTTCAGACGTATCAATTTTTCGTGGATTCTTTCAAGTTTAATCAATACCATGGATAGCTGATAATCGAAAAATACCCGCCAAAAACGACTTATGATATTTCCAATAAAATATAATTCAGTACAACAGATAAGTATTATAGACGTTAGTTCAGTCATTTCCGGGTCATACTTTATCATCTATAAAATAAAATTCCATAACTACAGTTCACAGTAAATCATTGCATAATATTATACAAATACCTTTAATATATTATATTAAATTATTAAGCTATTTTTTTATAATTTCTCTTAATAATTTGCAATTATTAGCTAAAGGTAATATTTTACAAATGTATAATGAATATTTATGAATTAGGTCAAGACAATTGTATTTAGAATTTAAAAAATAATAATAATTTCAAATAAAATGAGAAAAAATTATTATCGTGTAAATTTAATGAAAGAAGTAAGAAATACACATCTATTAATTTCAAATGATTTAAGATTTTTTAATGTTCCATATGTGTATTACCATATAAAAATCTTTAAATACAATTAAATACAGTTTTTACCGCTTCATTGGATTTGTAGAAATGAAGCAAACCGACATAAATTAATATGCATCGCAAGACATAAAACACCTCTGACTTCTTAAAATTGCTCTGGCTATATTTTATACAACCAACTCCTCAAATCAAAAAATACTTATTAAAATTATTCAATACCGATCTCACACTCATAATGACTTTTATTCACAATTTAATTTCAGAAAAAAATACAAAAATTTAAAATAATTTTTAGTTTTTAATGATTTACGGTGTCCTTGAACTCTTTTGGTTTTTAACTGAATAAACTAATGTTTTAGATGTATTCACGAATGTATTTACATAATTTTAAAACGATTAAAAAAACGTTGAAGTGAAAGATAAATATTGTTTTTTAGGTTAATTCTTAATTTATATATTATACAATGCAAGGTGTATTCTATGGTAAAGTGTCCCAACCACTTATAGCTGATTATAACTGATTTATAATTAGTTTAGGGATGTACATACTAATAACATAATATTGAATTAATAATTAATAAGAAACTATGTTCAACTATAGTTGTCAATAGTAACCATATGGCTTTGTGTATCTGTTTGACTGACAGCACACCCATTATCTTGATTTGAAAGTTATCAAGTATGTTTTCATACTACATTATCGGCCATAACCAGTCCTAATAATAATACATTTACTAAAAATAAAAATGAATTTTCATGATTCATAGCTCGTGACAGAATAAAACATTTCTATTTTCGTGTTACCAAGTTGAATATTTAATTCAGGTTATCTATTATTCATTTCTGTATTACCACATAGTACTAAAAGCGTTCCATGAGTAATTGGGTGGATATCACATGTGAAATCCATTAACTAATTCCTTTGAAGAACCTTGTATACATTACTTGTATTTTGATTCAACGATAATTCATATCATCGACAATTTGTTTCAAAAATCTAATAAAAGTAAAGAATTTCTTATGGCAATAAAGAGCTCAAATCAGTAAGAAAAAATGATTAACAGCAAGTGTCACTACTATGTATCTTTTGCTAGCATCATGTATGTCAACATCACTCTAAATTAGTACACATTCTAATTGTGACAATCGGGTACAGATTGTATATTTCTTCTCCAAAATCATTAATTCTATTAATGAAAATTGCTATTTCAATGGTCAATTTGTTTAGAGTTACACTAAAAACCAAATCGATTTTTTCAAAAACCAGTTTTGTGTAAAATTTCCCTTTTTACCTTCATTTTTGGTTTGATTTTCCTGTCGCTTTTGAAAATAATTGAGAATTTTTAATTTTTACCTAACGAGCGCATCAACCAGAATCACTTTCATAAAAGAAATGTTGTTGTTGAGGAAAATCGAGGCAATTTGACTGCCCCAAACAGTGTTGACAGACAAAACAATAAAATACATCATTATACAATGAATACATTCATCGCACCTCTCAGAATCTAAAATCAAATATTGAATGAGTAGTGACTAATGAGGATACTTATATTTATTATTTATTCAATTTGAACAATATTTGAATCATTAAATAACCAATTGCTTTGCTTGATAAATTATGCAGTTGCTTTAGATTAATATGACATATTCCATACAGCTCGAAATTAAAGTGATCGTGCAATCTTCGAAGTAAAAAAATTTTGATCTAATTTAAAAAGAATAATATAAATATTTCATTTAAATAATTTATAATTTTAAATGCAGTAAATTTAAAAGTATTTATAAGAATTTACAAGATACATTAATTGTACCTGACGTTTAATTCTAGGGTTTCTTTCTATTACAGATCGTTGATATAAGACATCACTCACCCGATTTATCTGAAAATGCAAAAATGAAATTATTTTTAGTAATATTTTTAATATAAGATGTACATTATATAAACACCTATTGTGTTGTTATAAAACAAGTTTATTAATAGTATTTATGGAGAAATGTAATGCCTATTTATTTTTATTCGCTAAAGCTACGAAGCATTGAGATAGATAGAAAATAATATTTAGGGACGATAAAAAATCGCCTTGATGTGCAACACCACCTCAAGTTGGTCAAAATGTTAATTGTGGGCTGAAATACGATTCGGATAAAATACGCGTCGGCTAAAATACGGTTTAGTCGAAGAATTTGTCAACTAAAATACGGATCTGCTAATATAATTGTCTAAGTTAATATTTTCATCCATTTTACGCGCTCCAAGAAAAAGTTATTTTACTTTACAATAAATTAATAAAACATGGAATATATAAAAACCTCTTTTTCGGTAGCGTCCCCGGTTTTGTATAAAATTAAATGTTTGGCACATTTCAATGTCAAGTACGTAAAAGAAAATACAAAATATGGATCATTGACATAGTCTCTAGGAAATAATATGCAACTGTATATAGTAATAATGATATCAGCGATATTTCCTGCAATAAAAACAACGATAGCCGGCAAACCATATATTGATCTATTGACTTGGTGTAAGCATTCTATAACTTCCAAATACATGTCTCTGAATGTGCTTAAGCATGATTTTCTTTCCGGAATTTGTTCATTTATCACATAGACCATCCACTTTATGTATGAAATTAGAAGTATGTATTCGTTAAATACAGCGAATTCGCAAACAGTTAAAACCATCAAGAAGACCTGAAATGAATGATACATATGTAGACGCTACAGCTGATGTATTAAAATCGTTTAAATTAACATTTTTGGGCATTTTAAATTTTAGTACATACAGCTTGCTTTTCCTAACAAATAATAATTTAAATTTAAAACCTGTCATCGACTCGATAATATTCTCACTACTAAGCTTGATATTAGTTGAATTCACTCCTAGTTTAAACAAAACTTACAATTTGTTATGTGATGAGGTTGTAAGATGGGGACAATAATAGTCCTATTAAGTTTGACAATAATTGGGTAACTAATTGTTGTAGCTAGAACTCTAAATTAGAGACTGTACTGTTATGCAAGTGTATCATCTACTAGTGTACTTCTGTATCGTATATTACATTAAATGTGTGCTACCGATACAAATGCTGTGAGACTAGAAGTCTAAGTAAAAGGATTAATACTATTAGAAAGTTAAGTTCTGTGGTTCTAAAGGAACTACGGATGAGCACACTATTTGTAAGTCATCTCATTATTTTTTACATATTATGAACTGTGTGGTAAAAAAAAACATATAAAGAGAACTATAGGTTCTTGATCTGGATCTATCTTTCCTGATGGTCCCGATTTACGGTTAAAATTTTTTTTTTTAAAGGCTCCGAAAACAATCACTGAGTTATTTAAATATAACAGGTTCCCCAAACAATGTTACACTATAGTATAGTCTGTATTTTTGTACTATATTTTGACAATGCCAGTGCATAGTTTGTTGAAGAAATATTGACTATTGAAAAATTTGTCATTCACTTTGAATAAATAAATATAAATACCCTCTACCATTGGAATAATAGAAGTGGGTATGGCAGGGTCTGAACTAATATAGTAGCGAATAATTTAAAGGAATGGATAATATAAACTATAAACTATATAATATAATATACATTATACATTCACGTGATACAACCTTGTGTTGTTTTATACTGATGGTTTTACTATGCATTTAGTCAAATAGTGGAACATTATTGGGGAAGGATTAACAAAGAACGAATTACTTAAAACCATCTTACAAAATTAATTTTAGACTTATGACATAATTTTATATGTTTATGATTACCATATGATCTATTTCAAATTGGTTTTGAAATAATACCCATACGAGAGGAGTTATAATATTTCCTATGACATATAGAATAACACCAATAATGAAATAACAATTCATTTTTATTTTCATCGGGCCAACCACTTTCAGACGTATCAATTTTTCGTGAATTGCTCCAAGTTTATTCAATACCATAGAAAGCTGATTATCGACGAATACTCTCCAAAAATAACATATGATATTTCCAGTATAATATAATTCAGTACAACTGATTAGTATTAAAGACGTTAGTTCAGACAATTCTGAGTCAACTTCAACAATCTATAAAATAAAATTGCATTACTTATAGAGTGGATTTTCTGAATTGCTGTACTTGAAAAATAAGTACAGAAATAGGCTCGATATTCAAAGTGATTTCAGAGTGAAAATAAGTTCCATTCAGCTTGATATTATTGAAGTTCTTGTGCAAAATAAACAACAAGAAAATATCACATCAAATTTAAAATAAAATTGTAATTTAAATCTTAAGATTTTACTAAAAATAAAGATTTTTTTACTTTCATCAATATCAAGTAATAAAAAATGTTAATAAATGAATGAATAATAAAAATATACGTTAAAATAAATGTTGACTCTTCATTAAGTCTTAGAATTAAGGTGGTACGCGTATTGATTATAAACATGTCTGATGGTACTCGATAATAAAAAGGTTGGGAACCCCTGGTCTAGGTTATTTATTTATCAATAACAAAATAAGAAATAGTGTTAAATATAACAATGTAATTTTATTACCGCTTAATTTTAATGAATAAAGTAAGAAATACACGTCTGTCGGCCAATTTAAAATTTTAAGCTATTAGATATTATGGATACTTTTTCAATGTATAATTTATAAATTACTATACGAAACTATTTAAACTTAAGTACACTTATTACCCATACGTTGGTGATGTAGAAGTTATATAAACTAAAAGAAATTATTATACTCCGTAAGACATAAAACGCCACCGACGCCTTGAAATTGCTCTGGCTGTAGTTTATACTACCAACACCGCAAATCAAAAAACCCTTGTTAAAATAATTTAATACTGATCTTACACTCATAATTTATTTTCGTTTACAATTTAAGTATAAAAATGAAGGCAATATTTAGTGTTTTAGGATTAAAGGTGTGTGCGGTGATTCAACTATATTAATACAATTGTTGTAAAGCACATGTTTATAAATGGATTTCAGTAATTTTTAAATGAATCAAAAATGATTATCAGGAAAAAACGTTGAAGTGAAAAACAAATATTGTTATTTAGTTAAATTCTTAATTTATATATTACATATAGCAATGTGTGTTCTATATTAAGTACCCTGCACTTATAATTGATTATATTTGGTTTAGGATATACATATTAATAAAATAACTGAATTTAAATAATTGATAAGCAACAACGATAAACTATAAACTTATAAATAAATGTATATTACGTTTTTAGACTAATGTGTTTGTGGAACGTTCACTAAAAAAATGAATTTGTTCAAGTTCACGTTCAGTCCTTTAAAAAAGAACTCGCTCACATTTACGTTATTTCAAAAATTATAGCGTTCATTGCTTCGTTCATTCAATTTTTTTAATTTTTTTTTTTTTTTGAATCATCTAATCTGGATTATATTTTTAATATCTGACACGTAATTTGATTTACATTTTAATAAGAATTTCCTAGTGATGAAATGAAGCAAATACTTTGGCACCATGCACACAGCCGAAAGACCTTAGGACAGCCTTTGCAAAGTCAACTATCTCCTCAGTTTTTTAAGACTTGAAAAAATCTTTTTATTGAAGACTTAAATTTAGGTAGTATTGTAAAATACAATTGTAATTCCTAATATATTATGCGTTTCACAGCAATCACAACTATAAAAAAATTCCATGCGTGTTCTGCCGTTCTTGCGTGTGTTCTATAATATAGGTGCCCACTTAATATTAATTATATTTGATGTAGGCGGATACACATATTAATAAAATAACTAAAGGAAAATAATTGATAAGCAACAACGATAAAGTGTCATCTTATAAATTGATTTATATTGTTTTTATACTAATATTACTATAAAACAGCATATCAACACAATATTATTAAGAAAAATGTGGACAAGCGGGTACCACTCTGCTGTATTGTAGGTGTGGAGAGAGTCTATGTAATGTATGTTTTAAGTTCGCGTTTAATTATACAAAACCAATATATTTAAAACGATTCTAAAGGGCAGTCATGTGTCAGCCTATATTATCAAGTCTATCATGTGATATGCCTAACTGCTATTAAAGTAATTTATTTTACTATTAGTAAATAGGGCAGGAAGATTGCATTTGTTACGACTTACGAATACATAGCATTTGTCAATGCCTTTGTGAACATTTAATATTTAAGACGCTCCTAAAATATTGTGAATTTATTCTAATTTTTTTTAAATTACTGTTATACTAACTTTCGAGAGACATTGTATTGCACCTAAAATTTAAAGCATTCAAGGGTATTAGTTGATGAGTTAAATTATAAACACAAAATAAGTTTTGTCAAAAACTGGTTCTTCGTAAGAATTCCCAATTTTTTTTTCTCGACTCTTCCAAAACTATAGTTACAAGTGTGGTTTTTTGGGCTGTCCGAAGTATCAACAAGATTCAATTTTCCTTCAGAAAAGTTGCTGAGGTAAAATATTAAACCATTTTTACTGCTCTAATAGCTAGAGAGTGGTGACAGTTACAAATTACATTTTTGAAAAACAAATGAACACTTCACTTATACTTGAATGATGCATCAGTGTTTAAGTAAACCATGATGCAAATTTTTATAAGCCAAATTTCATGTTTTAATGTAAGACTAAAATTAACATAATTTATATTTGAATATATAACTAACTTGGTATTTCTATTTACAATACATACTTTGTATCTTGAAAATTATTGACGTTTAAGAATAAATTCGTGTTAAATCATTTGAAACAGCATCTATCGAAATGATAAGATTTCAATTGAAATTTAACAAAAACTATCGGGTGTACAAGTCGTGTCGGCGAGAGTGTATTGTAGCCGTGCTGGGGTCATAACGGCTGTGGTACATCTGCTTCTGCTGTACTCCAGGCTAAATTATTAGAAGTGGTCTTCGTTCCTTGTCTTGCGTCCAGCAAGTATCTTTTGGGCGTGGTCATGGAAAGATAAAAATACGAATTTTGCCTAATTACAGAATGTGATTTTTTGATTTACAGCACCCGTGGCTTCGGTAGTCGTATTGCGGTGTATTTGGGTGTTGGTGGAAAGTAGTTACCGTATGAATGTGAATATAGTGACTTCGTGGCTGCAAGTAGCTATTGCACTGATAGTCTGGTATCACGATTGAAGATTATAACGAATACATTAAGACTACATACATCGACAACTGATCGACAATATTATACATTTTTTTCATGTTACAAATACGAATATTTTAAAGATAATAAATAAAAATCAAATATTAAATTAGTAGTGAGTTGTCAATTAATTACATCTTAAAAAATAGGTAGGTTTAAAAGGTAATTAGAAGCTAACATTTTTGATGAAAATAAATATTCCATTTCAATTATTTATTCATGGTGAATCACATGTGGTAATTTATAAACACATTTATACCTGACGTTTAATTCTAGGGCTCCTTTCTATTACGGACCGTTGATGTAAGACTTCGCTCATCCGATTAATCTAAAAAATACAAATATTCAATTTTAAATATTAAATGTTTCTAACAAACTATTGACACAATTTTGAACCTATAAATTTTTTTACAAATAGATAATCACTCCTTCTTACTGATAATGACATGATGTTACTACAAGACATATTTCATATAGATACCTATTGTTGAGTATTGTGTTATTAAGAAATATTTATTACTAGCTGATCCCGTGTACTTCGTTACCCGTTAAATGTACCAAATATATACGACTCAAACTTATATAAATAATATATAATAAAACAAATACAATATATGTATAAATAATTACAATAATTACATTAATAATTACATTTTTTCTAGCTTTATAAAAATAAAAATAAAAATAAAAATAAATACAGTCTCTGGGACCTTTATCTTCATTAACTAATAATACAGCTACTTCATCGATGGTAGGTGCATTATATTGACCTCTATATATTTAATATTTATTGGTTTTTATTTACTGCGAAAGTGCGAAGTAAATAAGAATTGTATATTGATTAACAATAATACAATTTATATAAAACTATTTAATTTTACAATTAATTAAAATTATATTTAATATCATATAAAAACCTCTTTTTCCGTGTCGTCATCGATCATGTATAATATTAGAAGATTGACTGCCACTGTTAAAAAGTGTATGATAGAAAATAATAAATATGGATCATTGATATAGTCTCTTGGAAATAATATTCAACCGTATATTTTTATAATGATATCAGCTTCATTTCCTGCAATAAAAACAACGATAGCCGGCAAACCATATACTGATCTATTGACTTGGTGTAAGCATTCTATAACTTCCAAATACATGTCTCTGAATGTGCTTAAGCATGGTTTTCTTTCCGGAATTTGTTCATTTATCACATAGACTATCCACTTTATGTATAAAATTAGTAGTATGTATTCGCTAAATGCAACGCAATGGCAAACAATTGCAACAACGAAATAAATCTGAAATATATGAAAGGTATATAAATCGAAGCTAGGGATGCTTATATTAAATTTCTTTGACGGAAAATCTATGAACATTTCAAAATGTTAAAACAGTTGACTATTTTAAAACACACATACCTAACTCATTTAATAATATGATTTAAAAAAATAAAAAAGTGGTAAAATCATATACACTGAAACTTGGTATTTGAGCTTGATCCATCTTTCCCGCAGCTTGAAAACCCTCACTTCTTTATCTAAATTTAAAAGGTTTTATCTAAACCTATACCATTGGAACAATAGAAGAGGGTACAATAGCATTCTCGTAATTGATATAGAAGGAAGTTAATTATTTAAAATAAATGGTTAAAATAAACTGTAACCTATCTATACATATAAAACTGAAATCAAGCAAAAGAAGAAATCTTTGTTACGGTTTGGCTTCGAAACTTCTTATCCAATTGTCATGCAGTTTTTTTTTTAATGAAAGAGGATACCACGGAGCAAGTTTTAGGTAAAAAATTAGTTCGATAAAGTTAATAAATCATTAGTTATTATTAATTAAAATAAATGTGTAAATTGTACACCTATACCTTTCTAGTTAGAAATAGTCGCTGGCTGAAAATAAATAACAATCAAACTCGACAACCACAGATATAGGTATAGATTTCCGTATTTATTTTAACATCGCCGAACGCTGATATTATTTTCGTTATATGGACTGTGTACTTAATACTTTTCTATCGTTTTCGGTAGAACACGAAAAAGAGCAAAAGAGGAAATCTTTGTACGGTTTGGCTTCGAATATTCTTATCCAATTGTCATGCAGTTTTAATTAAGTTAGTTAATAATTAATTAGGATTTGGGTGAGTTGTTAATTTTGAAGGATTTTTTTTTATTGGTCATGTAGCGAGCTGTGACTTTGTTAAAATATTATAAATAACCTGGACAAGAACTCTATATATATAATAGTTGAGTAAGGCCTACAAAGCATCTATTTCGTGACTTTGTTAAAATATTATAAATAACCTGGACAAGAACTCTATATATATAATAGTTGAGTAAGGCCTACAAAGCATCTATTTCGCGTGACCTCGAAATGTATATGTTCATAGATATATAACTACTCATATGAATATTATTAAAATAGTTCGCACTAAAAGTGTTGTGTTGCCTCTGTAGAGATGACAACGACCAGATAAGCAAGGGACATCCGGCGTGTGCAGCGCGTGGCCGCCCACGGTATGACCTTATATGGTAAAGTAGTAGGATTATAGGCAGGGATATGATCCAAGGATCACCATTATAAAAACGTCGCATGAATAGGCTTCGGCAGACGGACTAACAACACCGAGCTAGCCGGACTAACACCACCGAGCTAGACGGACCAGCAACACCGAGCTAGACGAACTAGGCGAACTAACATCAACGAAGAGCTAGGAGCTAGGACACTAAAGTCACATCTCGCTAGTCTTCATTATTTTAACTAGTCATTTGGACTTAGTAAATTTATTGTGTTTTGTGTTAATTAAATAAAAAGTATTCAAATTATAAAGAAAAGTCAAACTCTTGTTCATTTATTTCCAACACCATCAACCGAGCGTAGTCAGATTGTTACAGTCACATTATGCCCAAGACAAGGAAATCAAACCTTGGTCACTCCACAAATAGTGCCAAAAGGATGCGCTTATCTAGGAAAAATCATTCGGAAATGCACGATCAAAATATGGTTGACAATAACGACAACAACCATAATACCAGTGATAACAATAACCGCGATAATCTCAATAATCAAAATGAGCCTCCAGCCCCATGACGCCAACGCTTTACGTCCCCCTTCAATTATAATAAATCGATTAATTATAGAAATGATTCTCACGTTTCGATAGGAAATATGAATACCAAGTGCAATTTCTGTCGTGCATTCAAATGGCCTAAAGAACCACCAGGTCTCTGCTGTTCAGGAGGAAAAGTTTTATTGACAGAAATTGCTGATCCACCGGAACCATTAAAAAGTTTTTTGAATCATTCTCATCGAGATTCTAAACATTTTCTTGATATGATTCATGTTTACAATTCTGCTTTTCAAATGACGTCATTCGGTGCCAATGAAATCAGACATGGAGATGTTATGCCTACATTTAAAGTTCAGAGTCAACTGAGTCAAGTCTATAATTTAGCTGGAACTCTTTTACCAAACAACCCTGACGAACCGAAATTTTTGCAAATATATTTCATGGGTGATTCGGTGAGCGAAGTACAACGGAGAATGTCGATAGTCCCAAATACTTACAGAGAATTTTTATACGACTTGCAATATTTGTTACATTGTCACAATCCTTACGTGCGCAGCTTCAAGAGTGCTTTTGAATTTTGATGCAATGCCATCAAATATAGACAATTTTCAAGTCATTATCAGAACTGACCGTGCGCCACAGACAGAACACAGAAGTCGTTATAATGCACCTCAAGTTGATGAGGTAGCCTTATTAATTATTGGACAAGAGTTTACAAAGAGGGATATCGTTTTGCGAGCACGAGATAACACTCTAAAACGTGTAAGTGAAATATACCGGTCTTACGATACACTGCAGTATCCTTTGATATTTAGTCATGGTGAAGACGGTTATTCAATTAACGTACCACAAGTTCATCCAGTAACAAGAGTTTATCAAAAAAAAACTGTGTCAGCAATGGATTTTTACTCTTCCAGGCTTAGAGACTAACAAGACAGAGAAAATTCCAATAATATTTTACTTCGTTGCGGGAAATAATTTAGTCAGTATATTGTCGATATGTACGCTAAAATTGAATCTGAGCGGCTTCAGTTTTTAAGAGCAAGTCAAACTAAATTACGAGCCGAAATGTTAGGTTACCTATACTATACAATAAGTAATATGGTTATTAATTTACGAAAATTGGACGGCTTCATGGAAGGGGGTGTCCAAACAACACTATACTTCAATTCTAGACTGATGTGGCTACACTAAAAAATATTATATAATTTACACTTAAAAAAACATTGCTTTCACAGCGTTTTACAACTAAAAGGAGTTTTTCCCTGGCAACGCCGGGTAATTCAGCTAGTAGAATATAATACAAAAATTTTGAGACTCTTGTAGTTTTAGATCGATAGTTTGACCATACATTTCATAAAATAGTAAAAGATGATTGGCAAAGGTTTAACAAAACACATATTACTTTAAATCATCATACAACATTAACTTAATACTTATGACATATTTTTAGATGCCAATGATTATATTGATTACTTTTTTTTCTTTATCAAATTGAGTCTGAATTATCATCCATATGAGTGGAGATATAATATTTCCTATGACATAAACAATAATACCAATAATGAAATAACACTTCATTTTTATTTTAATTGTGTCGACCACTTTCAGTCGTATCAACTTTTAGTGGGTTCTTTCAAGTTCAATCAACACCATGGATAGCTGGTAATCAAAAAATACCCGCCAAAAACGACTTATGATACATCCAATAAAATATATAATTCAACACAACAGATAAGTATTATAGACGTTAGTTCAGTCATTTCCGGGTCATACTTTATCATCTATAAAATAAAATTCCACAATTACAGTTTACAATGAATTATTGCATAATAAAATACTAATACCTAAATATTACTTAATTACATTTTTTAAACTATTTTTTTTAATTTGCTCTCCGTAATAGGTAATAATGAACAAGCTATTAAGAAATTAGCTATAGGTAATATTTTAAGAATGTATAATGAATATCTGGGAATACAGTCAATTCATTGCATTTATAATAAAAAAAAAAATTATAAATGTAATGATAGAAAATTGTTATCCTGTACGTTTAATGAAAAAATAAAGAAATACACGTCTGTTAATTTGAAATGATTTAAGCTTTTTAAAGGTGCCTATTGTGTATTAGCATTTGAAAATATTGAAATACTATTAAATATGGTTATTACCAATTCGTTGGATCTGTATAAATCAAGCAAACCGACATAAATCAAAATACATCGCAACAAATATAACACCACTGACTTCTTAAAATTGCTCTGGCTATAGTTTATACAACCAACTCCACAAATCAAAAAACACTTATTAAAATTATTCAATACCGATCTCACACTCATAATGACTTTTATTCACAATTTAATTTCAGAAAAAAAAACAAAAAAAATGGCAATAATTTTTAGTTTTTAAAGATTTACGGTGCACTTGAACTCTTTTGGTTTTTAACTGAATAAACTAATGTTTTAGATGTATTCACGAATGTATTTACATAATTTTAAAACGATTAAAAAAACGTTGAAGTGAAAGATAAATATTGTTGTTTAGTTAAATTCTTAATTTATATATTATACAATGCAAGGTGTATTCTATGGTAAAGTGTCCCATCCACTTATAGTTGATTATAATTAGTTTAGGGATGTACATACTAATAATATAATTGAAGTTAATACTACGTTGAACTATAATTGTCAATAGTGACCATATGGCTTTGAGTATCTGTTTGACTGACAGCACACCCATTATCTTGATTTGAAAGTTATCAAGTATGTTTTCATACTACATAACCAAAACACTGTCCCATTAAATATTAATCATACGTGACTCAAACATTCTTCAAACAACTTCAGACCCTCGTGAAAATTGTAAAGCTCAACATTTCTTTGAAGTTTATATTAACTAATTCCAATGAAGAACCTTGTATATTAACTTGTATTTTGATAGAATGACAATTTTTCCATCGACAATTTGTTTCAAAAATGCAAAAAAAATAAAAATTGTATTACGGCAATAAACAGCACAAATCAGTAAAAAAAAAACAACATCAAATGCCACTTTTTCAACATCACATGCCCTTCGGGTACAATTGTACAAACTGTATATTGCTTCTAAAAAATCATAGATTCTATTAAAGAAAATTCCATTTATCAATGATCAATTTCTTAGAATTACACTAAAAACCAAAATCGACTTTGTCGAAAACTGGTTTTGTGTAAAAATTTTAGTTGTTCCTACATTTTTTTATTGTCTTTATCGTTGATTTTGAAAACTATTGAGAATTTAAATTTTAACCTCCCGAATGCAATAAATAGATTAGCTTTCCTATGAGAAAGGTTGCTGTTGAAGAAAATTGAGGTAATTTTACTGCTCCAAACGGTGTTGACAGACAAAAAAATAAAAAAAAAACACATCATTGTAAAATGAATACATTCATCGCTCCTCTCAGAATCTAAAATCAAATAGTGAATGAGTAGTGACTAATGAGGATAATTATATTAATTATTTATTCAATTTGAACAATATTTGAATTACTAAATAACCAATTGCTTTGCTTGACAAACTATGTAGTTGTCTTAGATTAATATGACATATTCCATACAGCTCGAAATTATAGTGTTCGTGCAATTTTCGTAGTAAAAAAATTTTGATCTAATTTAAAAAGAATAATATAAATATTTCATTTAAATAATTTATAATTTTAAATGCAGTAAATTTAAAAGTATAAAAATATTAACTGTACCTGACGTTTAATTCTAGGGTTTTTTTCTATTACGGATCGTTGATGTAAGACATCACTCACCCGATTTATCTGAAAATGCAAAAATGAAATTATTTTTAGTAATATTTTTAATATAAGATGTAGATGATATAAACACCTATTGTGTAATTAAGAACACGTCTTTACTGATGGTATCTATGAAGAAATTTAAATATAATTTGTTTTTATTCACTAAAGCTACTAAGCATTGAGAATAGATAGAAAATAATAAAGAAATAGCTTTTTACTCTTGTAATAACTTCAAAAAACATGAAATATGTAATAACCTCGTTTTCCGTAGCGTCACCGATCACGTACAACATTAGAAGTTTGACTATTTTCATTGAGAAGTATATAGAAGAAAAAATAAAATATGGATCATTCATATAGGCTCTAGGGAATAATATGCAAGCGTATATAGTAAAAATGATGTCACCGACATTTGCTGCAATAAAAAAAATAGCTGGCAAACCATTTATTGATGTATTGATTTGATGTAAGCATTCCATAACTTCTAAATACATGTCCCTGAATGTACTTAAGCATGATCTTCTTTCCGGAATTTGTTCATTTATTACGTAGACTATCCACTTAATGTATAATATTAGAAGTATGTATTCGTTAAATATAACGAATTCAAAAAATGTTATACCAATGAAAGAAACCTGGAATATATGATATAAATAGACGTTACAGCTTAATTATATTGAAGAGTTAAGTTTGGTAGTACCAAAGGAACTATACTGATAGTGGTGACTATACTGTTTGTAAGTCATTTCATTATTTTGTACATTATATGAACTGTGCGGTAAAAAAAGACATGAACTGAAACTAAAGGAAAGTTATGGTGTTATCTACTGTCAGAAAGCAAATGTTTTTTAAGGAAAATGTATCTCTTTTGTGAAGATATTAAAAAATTTGAAACGAACGTTTGCACTTTCCAATTTTGAATACCATTTTTTATAATGGCCATATCGACTCCAGTCAGTTCATTTAACTTAAAAGGAAACTTAAATCTGATTTTGATGTTAGATTTACTGATTTCAACAAAATTGAAAATTTAGGGCAAATTTTGAACAATTGTTTATCTTTACATCCAAACGGCAAATGGAGTAGTGAAGCCACAAGCGTTTTCACCTCTAAGCTGCGCTACAGGTGGAAATAATCGAACACCAAGAAGACTTGAGTTTAAAGTTTAAATGTGGTCAGAATCCATATGATCGATTGTGGATGAAATACTTTTTTCAAGTAAATTACCAGAACTAAAAAACAATGGTTTCGAAACTATGTACAATGTTTTGATTGACAAACGTTTGTGAAGTTGCTATTTCTAAGATAAACTGTATTTCGAACAATTTCAGATCCTGGTTAACAGATTAACATCTTAACGAGATAATGCAAATCAGTTGAACAAACTTCACACCAAATATTAGGAAGCTCTTGAAAACTAAAAATGTAATTATTTACATTAAAAATGAAATGAATCTAGTGTAATCTTTTTTTTTTGCAAATTCAATTTGAATACATAAATACTAAGAAATACAAATTAAAAATATATATATACCTGTTTATTGGTGTGTAATAGTCGTGTCTAACCCGCGGAAAGTTTAGTAAGTTTCAAAACGGACCCCATAGAAATATGGTGGCCCTTGCACTGTGTCATTGGAATATTAGCAGTGGAAATGGTGTACTCTTTATTAATTTAGTAGCGAATAATTAAAATTAATGGATAATATGAACTGTAGACTATATAAAATAATATACATACAGCCTTGTGTTGTTTTATACTGATAGTTTTACCATGCATTTAGTCAAATAGTAGAACATTATTGGGGAAGGATTAACAAAGAACGAACTACTTAAAATCATCATACAAAATTAATTTTAAACTTATGACATAATTTTATATGTTTTTGATTACCATAGGATCTATTTCAAATTGGTTTTGAAATAATATCCATACGAGCGGAGTTATAATATATCCTATGACATATACAATAATACCAATAATGAAATAACAATTCATTTTTATTTTCATCGGGCCGACCACTTTCAGACGTATCAATTTTTCGTGAATTGCTCCAAGTTTATTCAATACCATAGAAAGCTGATTATCGACGAATACTCTCCAAAAATAACATATGATATTTCCAATTAAGTATATTTCGAAACAACCAATATATATTAAAGAAGTGAGTTCAGACAATTCCTGGTCAACTTTTATGAACTGTAAAATAAAATTTCATTATACATTTCACAGATATTAGATCATATAATGTAGGTTTAAGGTTAACCTGATAATAATATATTATTATTATTTATATATTTTGTTCTGAAAGATCATAATGCACCATATTGAAGAACTCTGTAAGAAATTAGCTATTGAGGAAATTTAAGAATTCATAAAGAGTACCTATTCATAAATGGAGTCTAAGTCTTGTATTTAAATATATTAAAAAAAGAAAGTAATTAATATAATAATATAACAATGTAATTGTATTCCTCGTAATTTTAATGAATTAAGTAAGAAATACACGTATGTTGACCAATTTAAATTTGAAGCTATTTGACATTATGGAAGCTTTCTCAACGTTATCATTTATATATTATTATACGAAACTATTTAAATAAAATTAATTACAGTTATTACCAATAGGTTGATCCTGAAGCAGGCATACAAATTAGTACAAATTAATATACATCGTAAGATATAAAACACCACAGACATTTTAAAATTGCTCTGGCTGTAGTTTATACTACCAAAACCGCAAATCAAAAAACCCTTGTTGAAATTATTTAATACCGATCTTACACTCATAATTTCTTTTCATTTATAATTTAAGTATTAAAAAAGGCAATTTTTAGTGTTTTAAAATTTACGGTGTATGTGGTGATTCTAACTGTATTAATTCTACTGTTTTTAATTGCATTCACGAATGAATTTAATATGAAAAATGATTATCATGAAAAACGTTGAAGTAAAAAACAAATATTTTTATTGGCTAAATTCTTAATTTATATATTACACAATGTAATGTGTGTTCTATAATAGGTGGCCACTTAATATTAATTATATTTGGTGTAGGCGGATGTACATATTAATAAAATAACTAAAGGAAAAAAATTAATAAGCAACGATAAAGTGTAATCTTATAAATAAATTTATATTTTGTTTTTATACTAATATTAATATAAAATAGCATATCCACACAATATCATTAAGAAAAATGTGAACAAGTGGGTACCATTCTACTGCATTGTAGGTGTTGAGAGGGTTTATGTAATGCATGTGTTAAGTTTGAGTTCAATTATATAAAACCAATATACTTAAAACATTTCTTAGGGGAAGACTGTTGGTCAAGTGTTAGTATATATTATGAAGCATATCATATGATATACCTAATTGCTATTTGTTGACACCTCAAGTTCGTAGAACGATTGGTTTCGATGGTTTGGTGTAACTAATTTAAATACTTAAAAATTGTTTTTATTAGTATATAATCGAAGACAATAACAGGATGTAATTTAACTGATGGGACTCGAACGGGTGGTATATGACAATACAATGCCAGAATTACTCCAACTATTGCATTACGGATTGGAGATATATAAAATGTTGAGTCCGGGAGGGAGACTACCTTTCGAGCCATGCAAGTCTGCCTGGGTAGGTCTTGCTCCGGTGCCGAAAAGGCAGTGAATGATAACGGTTGACGGGTTGACCGGTGCTTGGGCCTTTTATACCCATCGCGAGGCGGCCAATCTTATGCAATAGATAAAGCAGTCGTGGCGACCGGGCAATCGATAAGATAACAAATTTTAATGAGGTTTGATTAATATTTGGGTTTAACAGATAATGATAAATAGAGAATGCGATAAAGATATAATCGTGGAAACACTATTAAAGTAATTTACAGAACTAATTATAATACAGGTAGGTGGTATTCATTTGTTACGAATGTCATTGTAAAAATTTAATATTTCAAATGCTCATAAAAAATATTTTATATTTGTTCATTTTTTTTTAATAGCTGCAATACCAACTTATGAGGAACCAGGGGTGGATCAACACCAAGATAAATGAGGGGACGGTTTTTGACGGACATACATGATCTAGATAAAATTAAATATATTAATTTTGATACAGGTTATTTATTTGAATAAAAAGAGTCTTAACAAAAAAATTTTAGAGTAATAATAATAATAATTTTTTAAGTAATAAACTAATAACGATACGTGTCATTACAAATTTGCTGATTTAATGATACAATTTTAATACAAAAACTAATCTTCTTAACGATTTTGCAAATACATTAATTATTTCATCAAGATCAATTTCTTTATGCTATCACTGTGATATTACCACATAATATATATAAGTGATAACAAAGTACTGGCTTAAGTTTGGTGTAAAATAGTTAGTGATTTTCCTATTTATCTTTGAAGTAATTGTGTCAAAAACTTAAGTTTGCCATTGGAGCTGGGGAGGGGGATCCGCCCCATTGGCCCCCCTCTGGATTCGCCCCATTGGCCCCCCTCTGGATTCGCCCCTTTGAGGAACATTGTATTGCACATTCAATTTAAAGTATTAACGGTTATTAGTTGAATTAAATGCATAACAATTTAATGTTTATGTGAAAGTACTTACTACAAACGTTTACATTATGACCTAGGTTAGAAATATATTGAAAATAAATAACTTGAAATTATTTTGAATAGCTTGCAAATAGATTATGATAAATCTTCATCAACTGTATTTTTTCAAGTTAAACGGGTAGCATCTTTGCGTGGGTTTGTTAGATTGAAACTAAGTTGTACTTTGCAAGCATTAAAAATTATTGTGATTTATTTACCTATGATGTAGGCAAATAAGTTTTGAGCAAGAATTCATAGTTTTTCTTAATTTTTTTCCTCAAACTCCTTTAAAAACTATTAAGTTTATAGACAGTCCAAAGTCACTTGTCCACTTTCAGTTAACCAACGAGGGTGTACACAAAGTCGCCGGAAACCTCAATTCCGAAAAAACTTCATATTTTTGTGAAATTATATGAATTTATAAGTATTTTATAAAATATATTAAATTTAATTGGACTTAAGTAGAAAAGGTGAGAATAATTCTTGCTTATATATATATAATTGTATCTACGTTTGTTATTAATTCGATTTGAACAATATTTGAATTAGGTACTAATTAATCAATTGCTTATAACGAAGCTGTAAATTTGATTAACATAATATACTGTTACGTGGTAACAATTAAATTATTGTCTATCACTACTGGTATACAGTGTGTAATTGTGTATCCGTAGTGATGGATCATGTACCAAACGGGGGAATGTAAGAGGATTCGAATGTTCGACAAGACAAGTAGTTATACCGAGTATGATTTAACGTATATTTTAAAATGTAAAATAAAATGTAAGTAATATAAAATATTTTACTTTACCGATGACCTGGCAGCAACAATACACGGAGCAAGTGGTGAGACGAGACTAATTTCGTTCGGCTGACGAATGTCAAGCAAGCCGAACGATTATTATAAATTTTGTTAACTATACAAAATAGTTATACATGTATATATAGGTTTTCTGATATTACAGAATGGATAAAAGATGACACGCGCATCTATGATATATGCATAGTATATAATACTATACGTAATATTATGATTATAAAAATATGAAAACTGTAATGGTGTTACCATTACAATACAATAATACTACTAATGAAATAACAACTCATATTAATTTGCATCGGGTCAACCACTCTCAGGAGTCAGGAGTATTAATTTTTCGTGAATAGCTTCAAGCTTAATTAAATAAATACCATTGATGGCGGATCACCGAAAAATATGCAACGAAAATAACAGCTGAATCTTAAAATAAAAGATTATTCAAAACAACAAATAATTATTCAATTTGTTCGTTCAGAAATTTACTGTTATACCAACTTATGAGGAACATTGCATTGCACTCTCACTTTAAAAATATTCTAATTTAACGGTATTTCTGTTTACAACGAATACTTAATATTATATTGAAAAGGATTACAATTTAAGAAATTGTGTAACGATATTTGAAATAGTATTAGGTAACAAAAAATCTTTTTATTTCTTTTTATTACATTTTTTTTTTTTGTGAATGGCATCTTGTTGTATATAGGCTAGCAGTGTCAACATATTTGTGGTTTTTTTTTTAAACAGTTGTAGATAATTTTCAACAAAATGATAGTTTATTTAAATTTAAATTAAGCACAAATTGTCAGGTCATGTAGACGTTAGTGTCGAGTAGCAGTGTAAGTGCTGAGGTCGTACGGCTAGGGTACATCTGCTTCTGCTGTAAGTGCTCCAGGGTCACTTAGAAGTGGTCTCTATTCCCTGTCTTGGACCTAATGTAACAGCATCGGAGGTATCTTAAAGGTGTAGTCGTGCAAATTCAAAAATACGAATTGTGACTAATTATTGAGTGTGGCATTTTGATTTACATCGCACGTGGCTTCGGTCGTGATTTTGAGGTGTATTTTGGGTGTACGTGGAAAGTAGTTTCAGTTTGAATGTAAATAGTGACTTCATGAATGCGAGTAGCTATTTGACTAATTATAGCCCGGTACACCATTAAAGGTAATTAAAATTTATTAATACTACTTAAATCATACACAATACACTATTAATCATATGTTAATCATACTTTACTATGAATAATATATATATAGGATTCATAGCCCGTGACAATATTATGCATTTTTATTTTCATGTCACATATTCGAATATTTTAATGATAATAAATAAAAATCGAATATTAAACGAATAGTGAGTTGACAATTAGTCACATGATAAAAAATACGTAGGTATAAAATGTAAGTATAAGATAAAATTTCTAATGTGTGGCTTTTGATTAATAGATTAGCCCGTTACCGATTGACTAGGTACCGACGTTTATTAATTATTCAATTTGAACAAGATTTGAATTACTAAATAACCAATTGCTGTGTTTGATAAATTATGTAGTTGTCTTAGATTAATACGACACATTCCATAGAGCTCAAAATGAAAGTGTTCGTGTAATCTCCGCAATAAAAAAAACTTGATCTACATAAAAATAAATATAAATATTCCATTTAAATAATTTATTTAAGCTGAAACACAATTAGTAAATTTGAGGTACATTTATACCTGACGTTTGATTCTAGGATTTCTTTCAATTACAGATCGTCGGTGTAAGACATCACTCATCCGATTTATCTGAAAAAAACAAAAATTAAATTATAAATTTATAAATAAAGTGCACATACTAAAAAAAAAACAAATATAAATCTTATCACTATTTTAAACCAAGAATCATTTCTTTTTACTGATAATGTTAATACAAGTTGTATCTTATAAGGATACAAATTGTTTAGTAATGTGTTAATAAGAAATGTTTATAAAAAGTATCTAAGGATAAATTTAATACGTATGGGTTTTTATTCACTAAAGTTACTAATAAGTTATGAGAATAGATAGAAAATAATTTAAATTTAAATTTAATTTTACAATAAATTAAAATAATATATAATATCATAAAAAAACCTCTTTTTCCGTGGTGTGACCAATCATATATAATATTAGAATATTGGCTGTTTTCATTAACAAGTCTTTGAAAGCAAATACCAAATAAGGATTAACGATATAGTCTCTAGGAAATAATACGGAAGTGTAAATATTAGCAATGATATCAGAGACATTTCCTGCAATAAAAACAACAATAACCGGCAAACCATAAATTGATCTGTTGACTTGGTGCAAGCATTCTATAACTTCCAAATACATGTCTCTCAATGTACTTAAGCATGATCTTCTTTCTGGAATTTGTTCATTTATCATGTAGACCAGCCACTTTATGTATGATATTAGTAGTATGTATTCGTTAAATCCAACGCATTGGCAAACATTTAAGAACAACATAATTCCCTAAAAATATGTGAAGATGTGATACATATACATATAATATATATAGACATTTTAACCGCTTGTTTAATAACTGTCTTACAGATTTATAAAAAAATATAATTAATTGTTTCTGCCTAAGAATGATTTTATCCATTATCAAACAGCAATATCCCGCCACTAAGGAACTCTGAATGTATTTGGAAATTCGTAAGTTTTTCGTTATTTTGTATTTAATAAGAACTGAGAGTTAATAAAACATGTAAACTGAAACTTAGTACTTGCCCTTGATCTTGAACTCCCAAGCTACGGTAAAGATAAATTTAAATGGCTTTGAAATCCCTCATAGAATTTTCTTATTATAACAGGTTACCAAACACTACAATGGAAGTAATAGAATACTGTACGGAGTACTCCTAAATGTAGTAGTGCATTAGTAAAATAATAAAATGTATGCGTAATATTATACATTTAGTAAAATAGTAAATGGTTGGGGAAGGATCACGAAAATATAATTTAATTTAAATTTTAAATCTTTAATACAACTTCAACTTTTAGCTTATGACATATTATTAGATTTAATGATTACCATAATTTGTTCATTAAATCGGGTTTGAATTATTACCCATAAGATCGGAGTTATAACATATGCTATAACATTGGCAATAATACCAATAATGAAATAACGATTTATTTTCATTTTCATCGGGTTGACCATTTTCAGGCGTATCAATTTTTCGTGAATTGCTTCAAGTCTTGTCAGTATCATTGACAGCTGATTATCGAAAAATATTCGCCAAATTTGACACATGAATTTTCCAATGAAATACATATTAAAACAACAATGACAGCTGATTATCGAAAAATATTCGCCAAATTTGACACATGAATTTTCCAATGAAATACATATTAAAACAACAAATAAGTATTAAAGACGTTAGTCCAGACATTTCAGGGTCAACTTTGATGATCTATAAAATAAAAATGCATCAATACTTTTCACATCTATTATATCTAAAATTTTTTTTTTTTTGAGGTGAGAATAGAACTTAATAATGTTTATGAGAAATTAACTATAGACAATAATTTAATAACTTATTTAAAGTATTTATAAAATAATGATAAGGTAATGATACAATATTATGATGGTGCCAATTGAATGCATGTAGTATGTAATACACGTCAGATGGGCTATTTTAATTTGAACACTAATTATAGATTATTTCATGATGTGAAACAATTTAATTAAAATACAGTTATTACCCATGTGTTGGCGGTGTAGAAAGCATACAAACCAGCAGAAATTAATATACATCTCAAGACATAGAACACCACCGTCGTCTTCAAATTGCTTTGGCTATAGGTTATACTACCAACACCGCAAATCAACCAACCCTTGTTAAAATTATTCAATACTGATCTCACACTCATCATTACTTGTTTTTACAAATTGGGAGCAAAAAAAAAATGATTTTGCTTATTGTTTAAGGATCTGTGGTATGTGACCATAACTGATTTTAACTAGATTAAAACCATTGCTTTAATGTGTACAAAAATAAATTAACATCATTTTAGAATGACCTATGAATTGGTATTAAAAAAAACGTTGAAGTGAAAAACAAATATTGTTGTTTAGTTAAATGTATGCTTATGTCACTCAATTGATATATTATATACTTTAATGAAATGTGTATTCTAAAGAACTTAAATTTAATTATGTTTGCTGTAGGTTGTACATATTAATAAAAATAATTTTTATAAATAATTTATAGGTAGGTACGTCAATCTATTTACTAATATATATTTATATTATTATATAATTGATATTATGTTAAATTAATATTTGTTTTTTTTTTAAATAATAGTTCTAACATGCATTTGATAAAAAAGCAAAAGATGATAACACGAAATGAACAACAGACAATTTACTTACACCTTTGATCTATCGACGTCTTAAAATTGCTCTGGATAAAGTTTCGAGTCAAATCAAAAAACACTTGTTAAAATTGTTCAATACTGATCTCACACTCATAATAACTTTTATTTACAGTTAAAGTACTGGAAAAGGGTCAATAAATAGCGTTCTAGGATTTACAGTGTGTACTGTGTAAGACCTTTGGAAAATTTAACTCAATCAAAACTATTGTTTTAAATGTATTCACGACTGAATTTACGTAATTTTGAAAATATTTGAAAATAAATATTTATTACAAAAAATGGTTGAAGTGAAAAACAAATATCGTTAATAATTTAAATTACAAATTTTAAGTTATATTTTATAGAAGCCACTTACAGTTGATTGAATTTGGTTAATAAGAAATGCAGGACGTACATACTAATAACGTAATTGTAGTAAATAATTGATAAGCAACTACGTTAAAATATAAATGTGTAAGTAGATAAATAAATAAATATTTTGTTTTTATAGGAAACTATATAATTATATAAGATAGTTATACGATAAGTATACGTATGAATACAATTATTAAAGTAACTGATTAAAATTTCTAACTACAAATTAATTGGACATTTTTCGCAATTTTGATGAATCCTGCATAAAAATAATTTCAGATGCTCTTAAAAAAATATTGTGGATTTATGATGAAAATTTCAATTCTAAATATTAGCCGGTATTAGTTGTTCCCAAGCTAGTAAGATTGAGTTTGTGTAAACATTTCCGGTCGGCTTTCCTAAATTTTTTTTCCACCGAAAATCAAACCAATTTTACTGCTTCAATAGCTGGTGACACAAAAACAGAAATGCACGGTGATTACAATAAACAGAAATATAAATAACAGGAAAATGGTTTCCTGAAGAATTTTAAATTTAATGTAAAGTAGAAACAATCCAATAAATAAAGATACTAGATAATCATAATGCATTAAATATTTCTGGGAAATACACTTTTCTTCATATATATTTGATACCGTATAACGCTATTTTCAGGACAAATATTGAAACATCCGTATTAATAGTTTATAGAATATGATCCGCACACCGTATTGACGAATGCGAAATGACAACGACATGTTTATTCATCCAAGTTTTTTGAACTGGGTTCATTTTATACTTAACATTTAGATTATTTTAACCGTAAGTACCTACAATTTTTAATTTTACTGTAAAACGTATTGATAAATTTCGATTTTTTTTTGAAAATTTATAATTATAATATTTTCCATATCGTCCATATATTTTGTAAAGCTCTGAGAAAAAAATGATTTTTTCTGAAATTTTGATCCTTATTCTAAGCTCACATTAAAACTAAAATATGTGGTGTACAAGTGTACCATTCTACAACTATAGCGGATCACATACGCATGATACTAGTATACTACTGACGTCGTTACATAAACTGTAAAGTAGGGAGTTTAAATAAAACTTATAAGTTATGGGTATTAATATAATAAGCAACAAAAACAATTTACTTCAAATCATCAAACAATATTAATTTTAAACTTATGATATATTAACGATGTTAATGATTACCATATATTTTCTTCCAAATGAGGTTTGAATTATCATACATACAAGTGGAGCTACAATATTAGGTATAACATGTACAATAATACCAATAATGAAATAACAATTCATTTTTATTTTCATCGGACCGACCACTTTTAGGCGTATCAATTTTTTGTAAATTACTTAAAGTTAAGTCAATACCATAAATAATTGATTATCGAAAAAATATGCGAAAACAAATAGTTAAAATGTTATAATAGTTCGAATGAAATATAATTAAAAACAACTGATAGTATTAAAGACGTTAGATCAGACATTTTCTGGTCATATTATAAGCTCTTTAAAATTTCATAATTACATTTCATAATAAATTATTACATCATATTATATTATTCATACTTTTTCAATGTATAATTTTGTATTATCATACGACACTATTTAAATTAAATTAAATACAGTATTACCCATACATTAGGTAAGGTACACTAGAAAGTGTACAAACTAGTAATAATTAATGTACATCGAAAGACATAATGTATGGGTTAAATTTGATTACAATTAAATAAAACTAATATTATAAACAATAAACAATTCTGAGGTGAAGACCGTCTGTCTGCCTTTATTATCCAAAATTTCTATTCATATAATTGTTATAAAAATAATTTATTTTACTAATATTGTAATACAGGTAGATAGTTACAAAAAAATATAGTTGCATGGGACAATGTCATTGAGTATATAAAATATAATGCTTAGTAAATTTTGAAAGTTTCAAGTCCCGATAAATACTTTTATTAAACTAATTAACTAGGTAGTTGCTTAAAATGTTTATCTAAAAATCAACTAGACATTTTTCGGTATTTTAATGATATTTGTAAAAATTAAAACTGCAGATGCTCATAAAAAATATTTTATATTCATGCACATTTTTTATAAATTACAGTAAAAACACTTAACAATATTTGTAGATCATTGCATCACATTTTAAATTTAATAGTTAAATTTAATTTTCAATTTATTAGTTGAGACTTGTTGAGTCATAACAAAAAACCAAAATTAATTTTGTTCAGAACTGGTTTTTCGTAAGACTTCCTGGTTTTCCTTAATTT